TCCGCAAGGGCTTCGCCCCCTGCCGCAGGCCCCCTCTCTCGGAGAATGGGGCATGGAAGAGCCATGTTGTGAGGCTTGGGCGCTACCGCGAAGCAATGTCGGAACTTCGAACGGGGGCCATTGGAGATCTGAGCGTGCCAAAATCAATCAAAAACCTGCGGAAAATCGCAGATGTTGGCCTGTTGGGCCCCTGTTGGGGGTGCTTTGGGAGCGTTTTGGGGGGCCTTGGGACCATCTTGGGCGCCTTGGAGCAATCTTGGACCGTCTCGGAGCCTCATCTTGCACCTTTTTCGGGTGCTTTTTATGGAGGATTGTGGCTTCGAATGCGCGAACACTGCGTACGCTACGGAAGCTGATGACTTCGGTGACGCGAAGAACGCGTAGTTTGCGAGGGATCGCGGCTTCGGCGGGGGGCGGGGGGGGGGGAATATTGCCCAAGCTACGTGAGTATTGCCTCGGAGGCGATGATTGCGCAATTTACGAGGACCCCCCTGGGAGTGGTGGTGCGTGTGCTGGGTGTGCTGACATGCGCGGACGTACTCGGTTGTGCGCTGGGGATGTTGGGATGTGTGGCTGTGATGTGATGTGTTGGGACACATGTTGGAATATGTGCTGAGTGTGCTGAAATGTGCGGGTGTGCTGTGGCCCCCCTGGGTGTGCTGGGATGTGTGCTGGCCGTGGCCCCCTCTGGGAGTGGTGGGATGTGTGCCCGGTGTGCAGAGATGTGCGGACGTACTCGGCTGTGCGTTGGGGGTGCTAGGATGTGTGGGTGTGCTGGGATGTTTTTTGAGTGTACTGGGCTGTGTGGGTGTACTGCGGCCCCCGTTGGTGTGCTGGGATGTGCGCTGGGGTGCTGGGATGTGTGGGTGTACTGGGGTGTGTGCTGGGATGTGTGGGGGTACTGGGATGTGTGCTGGGGGTGGTGTGCTAGGCTGTGCGCTGGGTGCGATGGGATGTGAGGACGTACTCCCGACGCGGCTCATCCCTCCCCCCCCGCCCCCCCTTTTATTCCGACCGACCGTGCTCCCCCATCTGTCCCGCCAGCGGCCCCATTCCCTTTTATTGCAACCGACCGTCCCCCCCCTTCCTCACCATGGTCCCCGTTTCACAGCCCGCCCCCCCCCCAATTCCGACCGACCGTGTTTTCCCCTCTCCCTCCGTGGCCCCTTCTCCCCCCAGATCGACCGACCGTGCCCCCCTTTCTCACCATGGCTCCCGCTTCACCCCCCGACCACTCTCCCCTTTCTCCGACCGACCGTGCTCCCCCTCTCCTCCTGTGGCCCGCCTCCCTTTGTTCCGACCAACCTTGCCCCCCCCTGTTTCCCAACCGTTGCTCCCCGCCCCCCCCAAACCCGCCCCCATTTTCCTATTCCCACTGGCCGACCGTGCCCCCCCCCTCCCCTTGCGGCCCACTCCCATTTACACCGACCGGCCGAGCCCCCCCCCCCCCCCCCGCTGTCCGACTGTGGCCCCCCGCCCCCCCCCCGCCCTTTGTCCTTTTCTTCCGACCGGCCGTGCCCTTCTCCATTTCCCCCCGTGACTCCACTTCCCTTACTCCGACCAACTGTACCCCCCCCTTGCCTGACCGTAGCTCCCTGCTTCCTTTCTGCCCCCCGACCGTGCTCCCTACCCCGCTGCCCGACCGTAGCCCCCCGCTGTTTCCCCCCCCCCCGCCCTCCTCCCCCCCCTTCCCCCCCCCCCCCGTCGCTTCACGACCGGGCCCGCTCCCCCGCCCGACCGCGGCCCCCCCCTCCATCCCTCCCCCCCCCCTCCCCGCTCCCCATCCTTCATTCCGGCCGACCGTGCTACCCTCTCCCTTTTTCCTCCGTGTTGTTTCCCCTTATTCCGACCGTGCGTGCCACCCCCCCATTTCCCGATCGGCCCCCCGCCCCCCCCCCCCCGCCCCCCTCTTCTTGTTGCGACCAACCGTGCCCCCACTTCCCCCCGTGGCCCTCTCCCCACATACCGACCGACTGAGTTCCCCCCTCCCCGCTGTCCGACTGTGGCCCCCCGCTCCCCCCCCCGCCCCTGCCCTCTCATTCCGACCGACCGCGCCCCCCCCACCCTCTCTCCCCCCTTAGGACGGCCGAAGCCTTTCAAGACTTCCTGAGGACAGCCCAACACAGCCCCAGAACGGCTCAAAGGGACACAAAAAAAAATTACTTAAAAAAGATTCCACTGGGACCCCCAAGAAGCCCAGGAGACGCAAAACAGCAAAGGTTCCGAAAGACGCACATTGACCAAGCGTTTCGTTCCATACCAGGGGCCGACACAAGAAAACGCCATTGAAACCTCGCCAACCTCTCCCGTCATGTTGAGTTCGACTTCAGATCGACGCCGTGCGTTGCATTCACACAGCCATGCTGCAATCCGCCGCTCCCTCGTCATGGTAACTCGCCGGCCTGTCACAGCATTCGTGCGCTTCTTCCAAACTAGAGTTTGGCGCCATCGCCATCTCCCAATGTCCCGCATCCATGATTGTATGATCCTTGGCACGCGCGCCTCTTGTGTACGATGAATTATGGTCTCGGGGACGCGAACATTGTGCAATTTACTATGGATGATGGTCTCGGGGACGCGAACATGGCGTAATGTACCAGGGGTTCTGGTTTCGGGGGCGCGGACATCATGTATTTTTTTGGCCAAGGACCCCCCAGAAATTCTGATGATCCCCCAAGGTGAAGGCAACCAGGGTCCTTATCGGCTCCCCCCCTCGCGCGGACTTCGACAGATCACAGTAGGGAGCAGAACACAGAATTGTAACATCGGAGACTGGAAACTGGCACTGGAGCAGGGAACAGCAAGCCTAATCCGCGGAGCCTGATGGCCCAGCAAGGGGGCCGACGAATATCGATATGGCGGAGGGGGCTGGAGGTATCTGTAGTGCGGCCTCCCCCATTGGGCGTCAGCTTCTTCTGTATCAAGCAAACTCTATGTTCCCCCGGCACAGTTACGAGTTTGCGCTATGGCTGTTACGGCTTCTACCGCCTGTATTTTGTGTGGAAATATGTTTTGTGGCGAACATTCGATACGGAGTCCGGTGAACAGAATATCCGAGGTCCAGGGGGTCCGCCTCCGCCGTGGTGTTCGAGCATCGCGCTCCTCCTCCTCCTCCATACACATGCCTGTTGTGCGGCATCTCGCCCAGCCGATAGAATGGAGCTTTGTATAATGGAGCTTTGTGGCACTTGGGACAGCATCTTTCCTTGGCCGAATAAGCTTTCGAATTGTGATAGACGCAGCAGTAGAAGGGCAGCCCACCACGCGAAGGTGGGAGAGAAGCCTGCGACCGCGGCCGCGGATCTAGGTGGCCAGGCGCGCAAGCGCATTGCAGTCGACGACGTCTCGCTCGATGAAGAGGCCGACCTTGGCATCAAGTCGGGCGTTGCGAACGCTCAGGGGAACCGCCTTCTGAGGGCGGCGTGCACGACCCCACGTCATTATCAAAATTGCTGATCCGATTTACACAGCCATGACAACCGCCAACGGTCAGGAAGATCTTCCCCGCGCCAGGGGCAGCAGGGGGCACCGCCCTGGGGCCTCGACAGTCTCATGTTCACCGTTGCCGCCTTCATCCTCGCGCAGCGCGGGAACGGGGAGCAGAAGGCAGCCACCGCAATGCTCTTGATCATTTTGCCGCAGGCAGTTTACAGATTCTGATTCCGGCAAAGTCTTTTCGCATTACCAAAAACATGCATGGTTGCTAAATGCGTAGGCTGATGACTGCGATGTCTGTGTCCACGCTTGAGCAGACTGCCTTTGTTCTGCTTACGAAAAGACAGGAGACTACTGTTTGAATTGGTCCCAGGCCCGCTGGCTACTTCAAGCTCTAGAGGCAGGCTCCATTGCACGCTTCAAAGTAGGCCGTGCGCAGCAATAGGTCGGAGCTTCGGTCTCTGTGGAGCCTCCCCTTAGCTCCTGTTCCTCCGCCTCCTCCTCCTCCGCCTCCTCCTCTTCCTCCTCTTCCTCCTCTTGCTCCTGCTCCTGTTCCCCCATCCTTATCCATCTTCGGTCGTCCTTCATCGTCCTCCTCCTCCTCCTCCGCCTCCTCCCAGATCGATCCTCCCCGATCCCCCCGTTCATCCTCTGTCTCTCTGTTTCTCTTTCTCCCTTTCCTTCTCTCTCTCTCTCTCTCTCGCTCTTTCTCTCTCTCTCTCTATTTATCTCCCTCTCTCTGTCATTATCTCTCTTTTTCTCTCTCTCTTCCTCATATATATACATACATACATACATACATACATACATACATGCATGCATGCATGCATGCATGCATGCATGCATACATACATACATACATGCATGCATGCATGCATGCATGCATGCATGCATGCATACACGCATACACGCATACACACATACATGCATGCATACATACATCCATCCATCCATCCATACATACATACATACATACACGCATACATACATACATACATACATACATACATACATACATAAATACATACATACATACATACATGCATGCATGCATGCATACATACATACACACACATACCTGCACACCTGCATACATACATACATACATACATACATACATACATACATGCATACATGCATGCATACATACATACATACATGCACATACATACCTACATACATACATACATACATACATACACACACACACATACATACCTACACACATACATACATACAGACATACATACATACATACATACATACATACATACATACATACAAACAAACAACCAAACAAACATACACACATACATACATGCATGCATGCATGCATGCATGTATGCATACAGACATACATGTATACATGTATACATACATACATCCCTCTCGCCCTCTACCTCTCTCTCTCTCACTCTCTCTCTCTCTCTCTCCCCACCCTCCCTTGATCCTCCCCGACCTTCCCCTGATCGATCCGATCCCCGACCCCCCCCCCCCCTCGACCCTCCCCAGCCGACCCCCCGGTCGACCCCCGCAGATCCCCAGCCGCACCGCCCGCCGCGCAGGCAGCAGCTCCAGCTCCAGCGCGCCCGCGGCCCAGGAGCCCACGGGCGCCCTCCGGCGCGCGCCCGCTGGCGGGGGGGGCGGCACGCGGGGACGGCGGGGCCGAGGGCCCGAGCAGGAGAGGGGACGAGCGCGGAGGAGGGGGACGACGAGGATCGAAGGGGAGGGCAGAGGGCGAAGAGGATCGAGAGGAGGGCAGGAGAGGATCGAGGAGAGGGGGAGGCTGGAAGAGACTCGGCAAGGGTAGAGGGGGGATCGAGGAGGAAGAGGAACAGCAAGAGGAGGAGGGGGAGGAGGAGGAGGAGGAGGAGGAGGAGGAGGAGGAGGAGGAGGAGGAGGAGGAGGAGCAGCATCAGCAGCAGCAGGAGGAGGAGGAGGAGGGGTGGCGGAAGCCCTGGTGCGAAGCATGCAACGAAAGACATACCAGGAGAGTCGAGGAGGAGGGGGGGAGAAGGACCGAGAAGGATAGAAAAGGATCGAGGAGGAGGAGGAGGAGGAGGAGTTGGAGGAGGAGGAGGAGGAGGAGGAGGAGGAGGAGGGGTTGGCGGAAACCCTGGTGCGAAGCATGCAGATGAAATCTCACCGGGAGAGTCGAGGAAGACGGGATGGGGGGAGCAGGAGGCGCTTCGAGGGTCGAGGTTGGTGGTTCTGCCCGTCTCGCTTCCTTCCCGGGCCTCCGAGGGGGCCTCCTGGTCTCTGCCGAGTCTGCCTGGAGGTTCTGGCGAGAGGTCTGGGGGGGGATTCCTGGGGGCCTGAGCTGGGGATCGCGATCAGGAGAGCGCATCATCAGATCCAGGGACGCTGCACATTGCTCATTTCTAAGTATTCGAAGGTTCTTTGATTTTGCGGGGGCCAAGATCCTTTCATTTCTAATTCTTCTATCCTGGGCCTCTTCCTGGCCACGAGGGGGCCAGGAACAATTAGAAACGAGCACAATTAGGAATGAGCACGATTAGAAATGAACGACGTGTAAATGAACTAGGGTCCTGATGACTGTTCGCCGCGTGCGGCCCCGCGTCTGGGAGGAAGGGTGCCCCGAGCAAGAGGCGCCCGGAGGGGCAGGGGGCGTGAAAGGAGAAGGCGCCCCCCAAGAAGAGGAGGGAAAGGGGCCCCAAGAGACACTGACAAACACGATGTTCTAGATTCAAGTCGGGTCTGTCCCTCATAGTCTGGGGACGATGTTTTGACTATGTTTGCCCATTTGGGTGGTATTGTTTGACTATCTTTAATTTTTCGCCCGAAATCCGCCTGTAGGGGGACATGCCCGACCGAATTCTAGATAAAGACCTCGTTCTGAGGAAGCCCCGTAGTCGATCGAGAAGTCAACTTCGCACAAACGCGCGCGTGGAGCTCTCATCCACGCGCCAGAGAGGGGTGTCGGTCCATTGCCGATCCAAGGAATCTGCGCAGCTCTCCGAAAGAATATTGTCCTGATTCTTGTTCTAACAGATCTAAGTAAGTCGGGTCTGTCCCTCTACAGGAGGAAGTTTCAAAACTAGAACAAATAGTCTGGGGTCCGTAGCCATTTTGGCTCAAGGAATTCCTACCTCAAGAACTGTTGCGTTTGCACGTCCAGCCGCCTCCTGCACGGGGCACGATCACAGAAAGTGCACAACACGATGATGGCCTCGTGCATGAAAGACGCGTGCGGTGGCGACGTGAAAGCCATCGCTTATGGCCTGTTCGTGACGCTCATCCTGTCGGCGACGATGGTGGTGGCAGGCTTGAAGGCGGGCATCACCCCAGGCGTCAGCCCGCTGGTGGTGCTGTGTGGCTGGGGTGCCTTTCGGAAGGCGTCGAGGGGCCCAGCCGGATCGCGCTTCCTGAACCTGAGCCAGGTGGCCGGCTCCGCTGGCATGGCCATCGTCAGCGGGGTGATCTTCTCGGAGCCGCTGCTCCAGGTCATGCACCTCAACTTCGCGCAGGATGAGCTGGACCGCCTGGGCGTGGAGAAGAAGCTGGCGGAGATGCCGTGGGGCGAGGCCCAGAGGCTGATGGCGCAGTACGGCCTGTCTGTCCCAGAGGTGGACGTGCCCGTTAACATCATGGCCTGCCTCGTGGGCTCGCTGATCGGCTGGGGCTTCGTCGGCCTCACCACGCGCAAGTTCCTCTCCGACCCGACCCTGCCCGCGCCGGAGGCGACGGCGTGCGTCTCGATGATCGAGGCCGCCGTGGCCGACAACGGCCACAGGCCCAGGCTCGGCGTCTCCCTGATGCTCAGCATCGCTGGCAGCTTCGTCACGCGGGTGCTGGCGCTCCTGTCGCTGGCCTCCAGCTCCATCCTCGCGTGGTCCAGGGAGGGCGCGAGCGGCTCCGCCTTCGAGCTGCTGGTGCCCTTCGACAGCGGCGCGCTCTACCTCGGCATCGGCGCCCTGCTCACGGTGCCCACCGCGCTGCTGACCTTCACCGGTTCCTTCGTGCGCCTCGCCGGGGACTTCCTGCTGGCCGGCGTCGAGCCCGGCACGGACCTGGCGGCGAAGATGCCGGCCAACTCGATGCGCTGGGTCGGCGGCGGAGCCATGACGGTCGCCGCGGCCTACAGCCTCGCCAGGTTCCTGGGCGCGGGCCTGATCGGGCAGCAATAACTTGTTATTGCAAGTCATAAGTCGACGCCCCCAGGCGGGAGTGCCCCGCCGTCGGCGCACCGCGCGATGGCGGGCGCCCGCATGTCCACCCGCCACGCGCCGCCGCTACGTCGGGCGGGCCAGGCCCCGCGCGGGCATGCTGGCGTGCCGCGCGGCCGTGCGTCGGGGCCCTTCCTCCCTCCGCTCCTCCGCGCACGGTCGCGATGTCACCTCTTTGCCGCCTGGCCGCGGGGCGGGATATCAAGTGCCCGGTCATGTCTGCAGCGCCCCACCTGCCTAGTGTGCACTCTTAAGGTGAGGCGGCTGGCCGGGGTGTGGCCCTCTGTCTGCCAGAGTGCGTCGGACGCGACCGCGGTCGCGCTTCTTTTCTGGCCCAGTGTGGCCCCTCGTGGGTGTCGTTGTCTAGGGTTTTTCCTTGCGGGCCCTGTGTCCCTTGGTTCACCTCGGGCCAACACCGCTGGTCCTTGGTAACCTACGCGTTGTTTCTCCACCCTGGCGGAGTCTGTTTCACGGCCCTGAGGGGTCACGGCATTGCTATCAAGCCCAGAGTGGCCTCTTACGTCGGCCCAGTGTGACCAACGTACCCATAGGGCCCCCCCTCGCGGGTCCAGAGCGACCCTCGTCTGGCGGCCCAGAGTGGCCATTCAGTAGCAGGGCAGCCGATGCCAGCCCGCATGTCTGGCGGCCCTAGAGCGGCCAATCTTCGATAGGGCGGCCGTTGCGGCTTGCCTGACTGCCAGCAGACCCGCACGTCTCGCTTGGAGGCCCATAGTGGCCAATCGTTGCAAACGTTTCTTTCGCATTCCCAGTGAACAGTCGAGCGCGAGACTCGCAGCGCGCCAGACTCGCAGCGCAAAGGCAGCGAACTCCCGCCGTCGGTCGACGGTTTTTGCTCTGGCTGCCGCAGGTTCGCAGCGGCTCCGAATGCCGGGTGAAGTCAGCGGCTTCTGCTTGCTTGCGATGGCGGAGCAGGCTGCGCAGGCGGCGATCGCGCCGTTCGAGGCGAAAACAGAAAGGGGCTCCATGGTGCGCACCGCATCCCGCGCGCGGGTCGCGCACGCAGACACAGCGTTGTCGCAGGCGCGCGAGCGGCTTCGCTACCTGCTGGTTAAGGGGGCGGGCCCCAGGCTGCAGGGGCGCGCGCCAAGGGGCCCGCCCCTGGCAATGCCAGCACCCCCTGCCAACGAGAGCTGCTGGTCGCCAGTCCGACTCGGAGCAGTCGGCCCTCGGCTAGTAAGGCTGGAGCAGGTGCGGGCTGAACTGCGCTTCGCCCTGGCCCAATGCGCACCGCGTTTGCCGCGCGACGTATGCCATATCATAATGGGCTACGCTAAGCCCCAGATCGTCTCTGCGCCCGTGATACGCTACCGTCTAATGGACAATCCAGACAGCGGCGATGAAGCGCACTTCCGCCGGGCAAACCTGCGAGCGCGCCCGCCAGCGCGGGCCCGCGGGCGCCTAGGGCGGCGCACGCGATCACAACGCTTTTAACAAACGCGCGCGCTCGTGCCGCGCGCGTCGCCCCAGCGTGGATTTGCGCGCCCCCCCCCCCGCAGCTGGAGGCCGCATAAGGGTCGCTGCGCGGGCTACTAAGCACGCCGTGTAGCGATGTCGTCTGACGACGAGGCGCCGTCAACGCAGCCCGCCTCATGTCGCGAGACGTGTCACATTGGCCCTCTTGTGTGTTCTTACTGTCGCGTGTGCGGGCGGCGGGAGCATCCAGCCCCCCAGCGCGATCGCAGCAGATCGTCGCCACGGAGGCGCACATCTGCCGCAGGGCCCGCAGGCAGCCCCTCGATGGAGCTGACGGCCACGGTGCCGCTTGGGCCGTGCGCACGAAGCGCGAGGATCGACCAGCTGGCCGGCGCCTGCCCGCTCGGTAAGACGCGTGACCCGCGCTCACGGCCATAAGCGGACCAGGTTTCCGCAGGCATCTCGCGTTGCGTTCCCGGCGCCGCCGTTCCTCCCCCGCGTTCGGGGCGCGCGCGTTCGTTTTGCGTCTGCGAAGCGGCGGACCAGGTATCTGCAGGCACCTCGCTCGTGTTGCTACCGGCGTCGCCGTCTTCCCGTACGCGTGCGCTGCGTTGCAGTCGGCCCGCCGCGCGATCCCCGCGTGTGCGAGCATTGCGACGCTGGTGTTTTCTGGCTTCTTTGTTCGCGATGGCGGACGGACCGCTGCTGAGCTATCTGCGCCAAGACCCCGTGTTCGGGGCAGAATGGTCGGACATCGAGTACAAGGCTGCGATTGACTGCCTAGGCGCTAATAAGCTGCTGACGCCGGCACAGCTGGCGAACATTCGGCTAGAAGAGCTGTCAGGCTCGGAGGGCCTGCCAGCGGGCGTGAAAGGCGTGCTCCTCCGCGCGCTGGAGCGCGCCACAACTGCGGGTAAGCAGGTAGCGTACGCGAGCGCGCCCGGCGAGCCCCCCTGGTCTGCGCGCTCGCATCGGGGCG